GAAGGAGTGGGAGCTGCCTCTGGACCAGCCAGAGAAGGCAGCAGGTGTCTCTTCAGAAGTGGCTTTTAAGGAGAAATGGAGGAAGTCTGTCCTAAGATGAGCTGGTAAGTCTTGTTTGGATATGTTAGTCAATGTAGTCAAATAATGAATTTTAATTTCTCGACCTTGGTGTTTTGCTAGCTACACTTTGTTGATCAGCCTCAAGAATTTGTTAGGAATGAAAAAGTGGCCAAGTAACAGAATGGACCTTGGTGGCTAGTGTTAGCCATGCAATCTAATGCTTTATTGAGGGAGAGGGAAGACAGTGGGACAAGACCTGTTGGGGCAGTGGATGTTTTCAATGGTCTGTGCCTGTTAGACAGCCCTTCAGACGCTGTATTGGAAATATGCTTTACAAACGTCTTTTCCCATCCCACGTTTTGCCTTTCAGTCTCCCTCCTGTTTGTTAAGTGAGGGACAAAGTGTACTAATACATATGGAGTGCTACATATTGTATGCTTCTGTATACCCGAGAATTCATTACCAAACCCAACATGCAACTTCCATTTGTACAATGAAATTTATGTGGTTAAGGTTTGCAATTCTTTGAACATAAAGGTAAATCTTTTCTATTCTTTTGGAGGAGGATTTATCAATATACGTATGGTATAATCCCTCGCTATTCTTTTTTAATTTTATTTTTATTAATTACACTTTATTCACTTTGTATTCCCCCATAAGCCCCTCCCAGTTCCTCCCTTCCCAATTCCACCCTCGCAACACATTCTTCACGCATGCCCCTCCCCAAGTCCACTGATACGGGAGGGCCTCCTTTCCTTCCTTCTGATCTTAGTCTATCAGATCTCATCAGGAGTGGCTGCATTGTTATCTTCTGTGGCCTGGTAAGGCTGCTCCCCCCTCAAGGTGAGGTGATCAAAGAGCAGGCCAATCAGATTATGTTGAGGCAGTCCCTCTTCCCATTACTATGTAACCCTCTTGGACACTACACTGCCATGGGCTACATCTGTGCAGGGGTTCTAGGTTATCTCCATGCATGGTACTTGGTTGGAGTATGAGTCTTTTAGGAGACCCATGTGTCCAAATTTCTGGTTCTGTTGCTCTCCTTGTGGAGTTCCTGTTTTCTCCAGATCTTACTATTTCCCACTTCTTACATAAGAATACATGCACACTGCCCAACAGTTGGCCATAAGTCTCAGCATCTGCTTTGATAGTTTGCAAGGCAGAGCCTTTCAGAGGCCCTCCATGGCAGTTTTTTAGCTTGTTTCCTCTCTTCTTCTTCTACTGATGTCCTTCCACTTTGACTTTCGGAATGGGGATTGAGCATTTTAGTTAGGGTCCTCTCTCTTGATTAGTTTCTTTAGGTGTACAGATTTTAGTAGGTTTAATCTATATTACATGTCTATATGAGTGAGTATATACCATGTGTCTTTCTGCTTCTGAGACAGCTCAATCAGAATGATCCTTTCCAGATCCCACCATTTACCTGAAAATTTCATGATTTCCTTATTTTTCATTTCTGAGTAATATTCCATTGTGTAGATGTACCACAATTTCTGCATCCATTCATCAGTTGAGGGGCATCTGGGCTGTTTCCAGCTTCTGGCTATTACAAATAAAGCTGCTACAAACATGGTTGAGCAAATGTCCTTTTTGTGTACTTGAGCCTCTTTTGGGTATATGCCTAGGAGTGGTATGACTGGATCTTGAGGAAACGCTATTCCTAGTTGTCTGAGAAAGCGCCAGATTGATTTCCAGAGTGGTTGTACAAGTTTACATTCCCACCAGCAGTGGAGTAGGGTTCCCCTTTCTCCACAACCTCTCCAGCATGTGTTGTCCCTGGAGGTTTTCATCTTGGCCATTCTGATGGATGTAAGGTGAAATCTCAGGGTCGTTTTGATTTGCATTTCCCTGAGGGCTAATGACATTGAGCATTTCTTTAAGTGTTTCACTGCCATTCGATATTCCTCTACAGAGAGTTCTCTGTTTAGCTCTGTTCCCCATTTTTAATTGGATTACTTGGTTTGCTGCTTTTCAGCTTCTTCAGTTCTTTCTATACACTGGATATTAGTCCTCTGTCAGATAAACGGTTAGTAAAGATTCTTTCCCAAACTATAGGCAGTCGTTTTGTTTTGATGACGGTTATCTTTGCTTTACAGAAGCTTTTCAGTTTCATGAGCTCCCATTTATTTATTGTTGCTCTTAGAGCCTGTGCTGTTGCTGTTCAGGAAGTTTTCTCCTGTACCAATGAGTTGTAGGCTCTTCCCCATTTTTTCTTTTAACCGACTTAATGTGTCTGGTTTTATGTTGAGGTCTTTGATCCACTTGGATTTTAGTTTTGTGCAGGGTGATAAGTATGGATCTATTTGCATTTTCTACATGTAGACATCCAGTTGGACCAGCACCATTTTTTGAAGATGCTATCTTTTCTCCATTGTATGGTTTTGGCATCTTTGTCAAAGTTCAGGTGTCTGTAAGTGTGTGGGTTTATTTTTGGGTCTTCTGTTCGGTTCCATTGATCCACCATTCTGTTTCTATGCCAGTACCACGCAGTTATTATAATTGTTGCTCTATAGTACATCTTAAGATCAGGGATGGAGATACCTCCAGAAGATCTTTTATTGTAGAGGATTGATTTAGCAATTCTGGGTTTCTTGTTATTCCATATGAAATTGAGAATTTTTCTTTCAAGGTCTGTAAAGAATTGTATTAGCAATTTGATGCGAACTGCATTGAATCTGTAGATTGCTTTTGGTAAGATGGCCATTTTTACTATGTTAATCCTGCCAAGCCATGAGCATGGGAGATCTTTCCATCTTCTCATATCTTCTTCTACTTCTTTCTTCAGAGACTTGAAATTTTTTTCATACAAGACTTTGACTTGCTTGGTTAGGGTTACACCAAGGTACTTCATGCCTTTTTGTGGCTATTGTGAAGGGTGTTGTTTCCCTAATTTCTTTCTTAGCCTTTTTGTCCTTTGTATACAGGACGGCTGTTGATTTTTTTTGAGTTAATTTTTTATCCTGCCACTTTGCTGAAGGTGTTTATCAGCTGTAGGAGTTCCCTGGTAGAGTTTTTGGGGTCACTCACGTATACTATCATATCATCTGCAAATAGTGGTAATTTGACTTCTTCCTTTCCAATTTGTATCCCCTTGATCTCCTTCAATTGTCTTATTGCTCTAGCAAGGCCATCCAGTACTATGTAGAAGAGATATGGAGTGGGCAGCCTTGCCTTGTCCCTGATTTCAGTGGGATTGCTTTAAGTTTCTCTTTGTTTAGTTTGATATTTTTTATAGGCTTGCTGTATATTGCCTTTACTATGTTTAGATATGTGCCTTGTATCCCTGATCTCTCCAGTACTTTAAACATGAATGGATGTTGGATTTTGTCAAATGCTTTTTCATCATCTAGAGAGATTATCATGGGTTTCATTTTCTTTCAGTTTGTTAATATGGTGGACCACATTGATGGATTTCCATATATTGAACCACCCCTGCATGCCTGGGATCAAGCCTACTTGGTCATAGTGGATGATATTTTTGATGTGATCTTGTATTTTGTTTGCAAGTATTTTGTTAAGTATTTTTGCATCAATTTTCATAAGGGATATTGGCCTGAAATTCTCTTTCATGGTTGGGTCTTTGTGAGGTTTAGGTACCAAGGTGACTATGGCTTCATAAAATGAGTTTGATAGTGTTCCTTCTGTTTCTATTTTGTAGAATAGTTTGAAGAGAACTGGAGTTAGTTCTTCTTTGAAGGTCTGGTAGAATTCTGCGCTGAAGCCATCTGGTCCTGGGCTTTGTTTGGATAGGAGACTTTCGATGACAGCTTCTCTTTCCTTGGGGGATATAGGACTATTTATTTGATTTACCTGGTTTTGATTCATGTTTGGTAAGTCAAATCGATCAAGAAAATTGTCCATTTCATTTAGATTTTCAAATTTTGTGGCATATAGACTTTTGAAGTAAGTCCTAATGATTGTTTGGATTTCCTCAGTGTCTGTAGTTATGTCCCCTTTTTCATTTCTGATTTTGTTGATTTGGATGGTGTCTCTCTGCCTTTTAGTTAGCTTGGCTAAGGGTTTATCTATCTTGTTGATTTTCTCAAAGCACCAGCTCTTGGTTTCATTGATTCTTTGAATTGTTTTATTTGTTTCTAATTGATAGTTTCAGCCCTGAGTTTGATAATTTCCAGCCATCTACACCTCTTTGGTGTGTCTGCTTCTTGTTTTTCTAGGGTTTTCAGGTGAGCCATTAAGATGCTTGACATTTCCTTACCCTGTGAATATTTTTAATTATTGACTTTACATACACTATTTCTAGGTAAGATTGGGATATGCAGACTCATTATTATGTTGTATTTTAGAGTATGTAAGAAGTTGGACTCAGTACTCAAATGTGGCTACCTATGTATCATGCCAAACGAGGCACAGCTATTGAGGAAAAAACAAAATTTATATTCATATATATATATAAATAAAACATATTATATATAATGTACATAATATTACTAATATATGTATTATTATATACATATACATATGTGCAATATATAATTATACATTAAATATAATACCTATATATTATGTATATATACACATGCATAATATGTATTTTGTGTATACATGTATTATAAGCAACTTATCCATAAATATAAAGTCAGTCTGTCATTGTCTTGGTCTGTGTCTATATATACAAAAGCAAACCAAACAGTATGAGCAAAGACATACTATAGCAGGATATGACTGTCCGATATTAAATACATACCACTGTACTCAGCAAAATCAAACAGACCAATAGTAGAAAATAGATACATAGGAACTCTTGAAGTCTCCCAGTTTTCCCTATGTTATTCTCTTTAAGAACCAGTTACAAACCTACCCTCCTTAAGTGTAATTTTCTACAACATAAGGACCATATAGATTAAGTCTATGGACACAGGAAATAACAGTTAGTACTAAAATGGTACATATCTGGTTCAAATTGTTTTGGACTGTGAAATTTACTCAGTGTAAGTGATCCTGTTCATGTCATTGCACTGCGCAAGCTCTAGCATTGTCTTCAGTTGTAGTTGTACAATGGCAAGCTTCCTTCTGTCTAAACTGTACTGAAAATGCCATTCATCAAAGCAATGTACTGGGATAGGATAAATCACATATTTTAGCTCCATCAAAGGTGTTAAATTATTCACGATATTCATAAGGATAGGTATTGTGATGGGGTTAGAAGCAAAGCCCAGAACACAGAGATGGGTGCATCTGATTAGGGCAGGGATAAGAACAGAGATTGCAGATTCACTTATATGGCAATTATTTAGCTCTAGAATCTGAAGAGTACCAGAGAGATTTACCAGAAGAGTGCAAATGACCTCCAAATCATTCCAATACATTGTGTTGTTACTAATATTCAAGAGCTTTAGGTGGGTGGCTTGAGGACGCTGAGACAGAAATTGGTAGTCTCTGGACGAGAGATTACAGAATGGCAGATACAAGGAATCCAAGCCAGGTGGTATGAATCTGTAGGGATGAAAAACAAAAACAAAAACAAAAAAGCTTGTGAAGAATGAAAAGTGAATGAGGAAAACTGTACCTTTATGTGTAGAAGAAACTACTTTTCACATGTATGATACTTGAGTATCAATGTGTCAGTGTGTGCTTTAATTCACTTAATAGTTTTGTGACTCTGAGAAAGTTAGTTTTCTTTTCTTTTTCTCATTGTGTTTGAGACAGAATATTACTATGTAGCTCAGGCTGTCCTGGAACTGTGTAGAACAGGCTAGCCTTAAACTCACAAAATCTACCTGCCTTTTGTCTCCCCAGTGCTAGATTAAAAGTATATGCCACCACACCCAGCTGTCGGTTTAGTTTCAACACTGAGGTACAATCTCTTTTCATCTTAAGAATATATACAGTATGTTAGAATAGATGATTCTAAAAAATATTAAGAGAAAAACAGCTCTCTTGGCCTCTCTTGGTCCTTCCTCTCTATAGGGGCTCCCCCTCTCTCTTCCTCATTCTCTCTCTTTCCCTCCCTCTCTCTTTCTTTACTCCATCATGTCCTGCTCCACTTTATCTCTCTCTCTCCATAGCCACCTAATAAACCACATATATATATATATATATATATATATATATATATATATATATATATA